CACCTGTCCTTTCTCGCCGTCTCTCCTCTACCTCAGACGCCTCTCCCTCCCGCCGTCTCTCCCCTACCTCAGACGCCTCTCCCTCCCGCCGTCTCTCCCCCTACCTCAGACGCCTCTCCCTCCCGCCGTCTCTCCTCTACCTCAGACATTATCTCTCTAACTGCTCTCTCCCCCACTAGACAGACTTTCCTGTGTTTTTTCAGTTCCTCAGGTTCATTTTTTCAGAAGTTGTTTCTCTGGCTTGTTTTTCTCCTATTTACAAAGAAGCTGCATTTCAAGGCCCCTCCCCTTTTCTTTTTCCGAAAATGCTCCTTGCCTGTCGCCTGGGCTTTCGGGAGGCCCGCGGGTGCAGACCAAGGGCAACAACATCCCGTGTGACCGCGGCCCGCCAGGACGCCACTTCTCCCAGGGCCTAAGTGCTGGTTTTCAGGTCTTGTTCTCAAGGTCACTATCATTTTTTTTTAGGTTTATAGACTTACTTCTTCTATGAAGGAGAATGAGGCAGGGAGAAACGCAGACCACAGCTCGACAAGGTGTGACTCGCCCCACCTCTGCCAACCCAGAACATCCATGTGGGTTACCCTGCAGAGCGGCATGCTCACCGCTGTCCCGCTGGCGCCCCCTGATGGCTTTCGGATAAGGTGCTCCGCGAGACGCATTTCCTCTGCTCTCGAACGGAGGGCCCAAGCCCACCCGCCTGCTCCAGGCCCAGCTCGCGTGCCAGCTGAGCGCGTGCTGGGATGGGTGAGGTTTCTCTCCAGGTTCCCGTGGGGCCTCTTTCTTCTAGCAGACCCCAAAAGCACGGGCAGCACCTCTCCAGGGTACAGCTCGTGGCCCTTGTGAGAGCCACGGGGGCCCCCAAGGCGTCCCACGGGAGCTGGTCTCGCTGGTTCTCCTTGCCAGCACTGGTGGCGCGTGGCCCACTGTGCATGTTCCCTGCAGGGTCCCAGCCACTCCGTGGGACTCGCCCATCTCGTCAACCCCAGAATGAGGCCCTGGTCACAGAGCAGGGATGCTGGCACTACCAGACAGGGACTCAAGCCACCAACTGCCATACCAGGTTAGTGCAGAGGGGAGCACGTGGCAACAGGGCAACCTTGGAGAAGGGGAGGTTCTGAGAAAGGTACAGTCCAGAAATCAGAAGTGCGCACCACTCAGAGGGGCTCAGGAGCAGGCTGAACAGCTCGGGGGAGGACCGCACTGCAGGATGTCACGACAGAAGCCACCCAACCCAAAAGGCCAAGAACAAAGACAGAACATCCAAGGAGCCTGGGGGCTACTGCATGCTGGAGGGGACTAGAGATGAGGAGGGGTAAAAGAAGGGACATGTGAGACAATGACAACTGAGAATTCCTCTGGGTCAACGTTGGACAGCAAACCGGCGAGCACAGTGCCAGGAGGGCCACGCCTGAGCAGACCACATTCAACCTCAGAGAAGTGAGCACGGAACACGGGGCACAGTGCCGGAAGGAGCAGCAGAGATGGCTTGTCTGCTGAGACGCAAAGAGGAAGGCTGGTCTGGCATCTCTCAGACGCCCAGAACCAAGGGTGAGGGAAGGAGCTCTGTGGGCTGAGGGGACCCACCTTCCAGAGAGAGGAGAGACATGCTCACGTGGACAGAGGCCACAGATGTGCCACCACCCCAGCCCTTCTCTAGTCTCACTCTGTCACCCAGCCTAGCCACACATTCACGAGCCTACTCACCAGCTGGG